ACTGGTTTGTAGCCACTTTTGCGTTTCAAACAAGATATCTAGTAGTCTACTACTCCTGCTCACAGCTTTTTCTGCAGACGTCAACGCCCTTTTTATAGAGTGGCAGCTTGCAGCATCTACTAGCTAATGCGGCAATTATTACAGGCTTCCATATTTTGGGATTGCACTCTGAACTTGTATCGGATGGACAGAAGCGCCGTGTTTGTTATTTGACGCAGACTTGGGTCCAATCGTGTGCTGGACATGATGCCCAAATTGTGAGAACAGCTGTTGCCTGTTCCAGCTTTGTAATGCATCTATTGACCACTGTAATTACCTTAGAAGATCAATGAAATAAGGACCTTTTTCGTTTGTTTTTTTTCATCACAGATACAAGGACATGTGCAATATGCAGTTGCAAACTTGAGATTGAAAATTCAAAATGCTGCCTTTTTTTCTTCAGTATGTTCAAATCTAATTTTTGAATGCACATTTTATGGTTGTATGCACAGTAGCACTAGGTTTACGTGGAGGTGGAGGAAAACAAATATCAAGCTCTTAGTTAGGAAATGGAAATGGGCTGTAAATTTTAGACAACTCATCTTGATTATCCACCTGTGAGCATCATGTTGCATTTCTTAAAAGGGACACTGAAGCAATTTTGGAATATTAATTTGATGGTAGTTATAACAAGTATTATAAGGGGGATGCCAGGTAATATTGACCAAGTCCTAATCCAAACAGACATTTTCCTACCCTATGCTTCAACTGAAAAGTAACCAATAACCAGAAGCATGTTAATGAAGTAATTTTTTTCCTTGGAGTTTTTTCATTTTTTGAATAAAATAGCAATCGAAAGGAACCTAGGCAAAATGCTTGGAATAGCTGCAGCTGTAAACCTCCCAGTAAAGCTGGTCGGGATGTTGTTCTTTCTTTTCTACTTGACTCTCGAGATCATGGAAGTTCACTGCAACTCTAATTTGAAAGGCATTTATGACGATGACAGTTACTCTGCTAACAGCATTTAGCACAGCCATGATTAGCCTTTTTTTTTTTTAATAATTGAAAAAAATTCTGAGATGTGCACTGCTATGGGATGACAGGACACCAGTTTCATGTGCTGCTTCAGGACAAGCAGAACAAACAGATTGGTTTGTATGTTTGAGCATGGTCTTTTTAATGTTGAGCTTGATAGGAAAGGAACTTGAAGCCACGAGTAAGAAGAGGAGCAAAAAGAATATCTAGTATCTCGGGCCTTTGGTTTGCTTGAAATGGAAATAGTCTGGCCATCCTTAAACGGAGAAAAGTAATGGCAGCTGGTTGTGAAAGACAAAAACGAATGCCTTTTGGAAGTAGGGCAGCAATTCTTTCCTTCAGGCAGGTATTGGGGATGGGGCACAGAAATTGGCGCCATCTGCTCGGGTTCTTTTACCGGACTAGAGTAGTCATCGCGGTACTGTCGCATTTTGCCGACCCTCCACTATTACACGGTGAATCACAATTTTGTGAAGACACCATAGAATGTTGGCCAGAGCCCCGAAAAGAGTTTGATTCCATCTATGCCATTTTGGAGCATGCAGTTTTGTCTAAAGAGTGCCACATGACCTTGAGCGGCTCTGGCAAACGCTTTTTGTGTTCGCTTCTGTTTTCCTGTTTGCTCCAATGGGGGTGGTCATGTCCTGGTTGGCTGGGGGGGAATGAAGGCATGAGGAATGCATTGATGTTTCTTGCTCGGAGACCCCATCTTTTTTGGGTTGCTCGTCTCTCCGTTAAGTTGCGATGCCACAACTCTGCCAGTTTTGACAAAGCCGTTCACAATGGAAAGTTGCAAGGTTAACCTTCTCAACGTCGTGCCCATGCCATTTTATCCCCTGGCTTTTATTTGCTTTTTGCCATTCTGAACTTGCCTAGCTGAGCTAATCGTCTTCTTCTCTAGGTGTGGTTTGCTACGCTTTTAAACGTTTTCTTGCACTTTTCTCGTCTTCATATTGTAGCCCAAAAACATAAATTGCTGGATTGCCACGACGTGTTGAGTATTGAAGTACGCACTGTCGGGGATTTCTCGCTTGTAGAAGTTTAGACCGAAGAAGATCTCGAGAGAGAGCGTTAAATTGTGGCTTTGTCAATTGGTGGTGATGTAAGGGCATGTTCTGTGCTAAAGCTTTGCTCGGAGATGCTGTATTTGTGCTGCGCATTGCTACCTACTGCTGCTGGATGAATTGGCACGTTTCATTTTCCTTGGCCAGTGGAATGCGCAGGTTTGCACGTTCCTTTCTTTCTCGGGAGATTTCGGCACCAGCTCGCGCACGTTGGGTTGACGAACGGTCTGTTTCAGGGAAGGCCGTCCCCTCCTCACCACTTCCAGCTTCTTTGTACAAACTTTACCACTTGGGATAATTCACGATGCAAAGAAGATAGCTTTCGGGAGTCCCTCGAAGGTTTCTTTTGCCCTCGGTGTGCGCTATGTTGCGAGCCGGAATTTGTACAAGGTAGCCTTCTTCCCCGTCTGCACGGTCGGTGGAGGTGGTTCTAGAAGTTGTGAGGAGCTTTTGGGGCAAGGACTTCTTTCATATTTTTCTAACCCAGACTATAGGGACCTGCTATTATTTATATTATTTTATATTAATATATTATATATAATTTTATATTATTTTAATTTTACGATTCCTACGATTTAGTGAGTGCAAACTGAAACTGAACAATCCACCTTCGGTCCGAGCGCAGTGGACGCCAGGAGCTATTCCAGCCGATCCGACGCAGGGAACTCAAGGTCACATGACACTCTCTCCATGCTGGATTGGCTGGGATGGCTTCTAGCGTCCGCTGCGCTCGGACTGAAGGTGAAACGGGGTATAAACGAGTTTCATATCATGGCAGCGTACGTTTGCTTGTGCAAGGTTGGGTTGGCTTCTCCATGGCATGTCTGTATTTCCTGCGCGTTATGTCTTCCTTTTGCTGAAACCAATGTTGACAGTGTGGCCTTCAAAGAATCCCACGAAACCAGCTCAGTTTTTATTTCTTTGAGCAGGCTCCAGGGAGATTGCAGTAACTGTAGAACTAGGAGATAAATTGCAGTATGTTGTTAGTGACAGCCCTGCAATTGAATGAGGTAACATGTAATTGTGGTTAGCCTTTAAAGCTGTGAAAGCAACCGAGGGCCAAGTCCAGTTTCCCAACTCGTGATGCTGGTGCCAACTTGTCCTCTTCTGTTGCTGCTGTGGATCTGTTGGCTCTTTGCAACCTCCCCTCCATTTGCTTGTGGTTGTCACCCTCTCACTACTGCACAATCTGCCTCCTGCCTGCATCTGTCGTTGCTTGAATGGTCACTGCTCTGTGGAATCTACTCAATCCTAGAGCTCTAACAGCACCCTTAATTCATAGAACTGATCGCGCTTTTGCGGGGTATCTGTCTACTTGTGTTGGTGTGTCGCATCTTTCCATTTGGACTTTGGGTATGAGCCGTTTCCAAGCAGAGCGCTCAAGTGTGGCAATGTTATTGGCGTTTGTCAAGAACTTGGGATCACTTCCATATTCCAGCTGCTGCTTCTGGTCTGTACAGTTTTCTCAGCCTCTGTATGGGAAGCTCCCCCAAGCTGGAGTTTTTCGTGTCGCTCAAGACGCAACATATGCTCCCTATTCTCAGGTGCTTTCAGCATTGCTGAAGGTTTCTTTGCCCTAGGACACCTCATACTTTGTGTTAAATGTTAAAGGATGTTCGTTGACCCCATTTGGAAGCTGCCACTAATGTCTCTTTTTTGAAGCATACAATGACAGGTCAGCGTGTTAGGACCGCCATCCTAAGTCTGGAGGGCAGGCTTTACGGCCAAGTTTGTTGTTGCAGGTTTTGTTAGCTCTTCAGACAGTGGTCATGGTAATGGTCAAGGTAAGTATTGGCCACCGCAGTGCTGACCATTTAGGGATGGCTCTCCATTTCGGAAGGACGACACTCGGGCAGTACTGCAGAACACTGCTCCTTCACAACCTTTTTTCAAGCGATCTTTTAGTAGGATGTGCTAGTTGTTCTCAGCACTACTAAGCAAATATTGTCTTCCGAATTTTCCTACTGCCAGTATTTATTATCGTGGATCATCCGGTGCATTTAAAAGATGGATTCTGTTTGAATGGCTGCACTTAAATTTGAAGCTCTGTTGGGTTGAATCTGAAGGGCTTGCAGAATGATGTCCTAAATGAGAATTGCAAAACGATTGTAACTTTCCAACTGTGCTTCAACGTGTGCTCAAGCATGATCACACACTATCATGGCATTCATATCAGATTGTGACTGAAATTTGTACCTAAGGGTCACCGTGTGTATTTTATGTTTATTTTTTCACTCACCCTGTAGTATGTAATTTTGACTTCGAGGTGGTGATGTCTGCTCAGCTGCTTGCTCAATTTTATTCATCCGCTTTTTATTTGTGAGGATTGTTGTTTGCAGTGTACCTGTTCAACATTTATGAAAAGTGCTGTTACACCATTTCCAGACACTGGTACTAGTCTGCACCTTAGAAGACATGTTTCACTTCACGTTTTGTGCATTGTCATTGTACAGATATGGCTTGAAGCATTGGGTGTGATTTCAGCCCATCTGATCTGGTTGTGCGCATTATTGTGAGAATTGGTGCGAGACAGCATGAAGACTGCATAGCCCCATATTTATAAGAACCAAGACTCACGAAAGTGCAAGTCTCAATACGTCTTAAGGATTGTTTCGTTAAGTGAGCAACTTAACATTGTTAGGGGCACTATGAATGCTACCAGACCTTCCAAACAACTACCTCCGACGTGTTTACGACAAATGTGCGTTAAGCCAGTGGATGTACCTGAAGATGACTGCCTCTGCATGTGATATACACTTATATAGACTATATTTTACAAGACCAATTTATTGGTTCCATGTCCGCTACGATGGGTCTCTTTACAACCCAAGCTTTTGTTGATGTTTTTCGAGTGCTACTTGCAGTAGAACTTTTGCACACCCTGTTCTGTTGTATTTCTATACAAATACAATGTGGCGGTCGTAAAAAAGTAATAAATTTATTCTCATTTATACACCGTGCACTGCTCTTGCTTGGCGCGTTAGAAGACCACTTTGTCGGCTCGAAGCCTGGCGATTTCTTGGGCACCGAGGAAATCCGACAGCACCTCGTCGGTGTGCTCTCCGAGTAGCGGAGGAGGCGAACGCACGGCGTTGATTGCAGCACCGAATTCCACAGCTGGTCCTGGGTTGCGGGGCACACAAAGCATAGTTATGACTGTGATGCAGCTATTGCGGCACTTATTTTTGGCAGAAAATAAGCGCTGCCGGTATATTTGGGTAGAAGCGCTGCAAAATTATCGGCCCAATATTGGGACAAAAGACCAGGTTTCCTGCAAACCCTTGAAAATGAAATTGAGGTTCTCGAGGCTTTGGAAGAGGGTAAATTTTGCATTCGCTCCGTTTCACTTTTGGACGGTTTGCAGCGGATGTCAGAAGTGGTCCCGGCCGACCTAGTGTTGGAACATGTCGCGTGCCTTAGTGCCCAGCACGCTGCTGCGCCCCTCCCAAAAGTCGTGCGCCACTTGCACGGCACTGGGTCGGTTAACTCGACGACTCGTAGCGTCTTCTGCAGTCCGTCGTAAGGTGACATGGAGAATAGCCCTCGATGAGCATTCAAGGCACAAGAAAGGAGAGAACTGGAGATGCAGGCGACACTAACAGCCTCAAGGAGAGTGAGAATTGCAAGGACTACTGTAAAATACTTATAACAGTTCTGTACAAGACAGCCTATGACAATTGTGCCTCCTTGTCGCTGTCATGAAATGTGGAGTTTATCTTAAAATTATAAAATTTCTATGGTTTTTGTCTTTGAAAAAGTCTCAGCATGACATTGAAAACCAGCTCACAAATCTGTGGAAACCTTGAGAAGATTTGTGCCAGCTTTCAATGCATCTTCTCATGCTTGTATGTTCTCGCTCGACGGTCAAGCGAAAACATGGGAGCTTCCATCTGTAAAGAGAAGCATGTTGCCTCTGGGCACCACTCGAGGAGCTGCGTTTTCACACGATAACATGGTGAGAAAGTGCCTCGAGGATGCCCACATCTCGAAGAAGGCAGTTGTTGCTCCCAATCGTCAGACAACAATGTGCACGTATACCGAAAGCTCCAGTTCGCTCTGACGCCGAATGGTTGCGTGATGGGGAGGATCTTTCCCTCTGCTGCTGAGAAATGCAACAGATTCTAGCTGGGAAAACTGTTCTTACCTACTACAGACACTTCACCCGCAGTCTTGTGTGGAAGCTTCACCACCATCTCTCGTCCCTGAACATTTGGAAAGAGATAAGGAGGATAAGGAGCGTCACAATCTCGACAGTACCGTTAATCGTCGTTTTAACCCCTTAAGTGCCTTGGACGAGCTGAGCTCGTCTGCCACTTTCTGGCTAAAAATGCTGTGGACGAGCTCAGCTCGTCCAGTGGTTTTTTTCGGTCCCCCTCAAACTACTCGGACGAGCTAGGCTCGTCCGAGTAGTTTTGCGGCGCTGATCATAGATGGCAGCACTTGTTTTAGTTGGCAAATATTTTTTTCGCCTCCGCTGATTTTTGCGTAATGAACTTTTCAGATTTTATGAGTTATACTAGAGGAATAACAATTTCAAAATAAAAAAATATGGCACTTTTAGGTTACTTTTGGAGAAAAAAAAGTTGGCACTGAAGGGGTTAATTGTTCCGCGTTGCAGGGACGGGAATTTTTCAATGACACTCGATGAATAATGGCATTTTAGTGCTAATCAGCTAGCTGTTTTAGTGTGTGTTTTATGCAACTGCAGCTGAGTAGCTCTTGTGCACCAAGTGTGGTGAAAGGCTGGTGTGGCTCGAGCCACCTGCAGGAATAATTGCACGAAGGAACTATGCGAGATACCCTGTTACTCCAGCTCTTTCACTTAACTCCCACTAAATGTGTGGGTATTCCAGGAACAGCAGTAGTGGAAACACCGAACAAATTTCATTGCCGACAGGAAATTGCGGAGATTTTTTGTCCGCTCTCCGTAAACACTGATGGTTGATCCGACGCAATCTAAGTTCTGGCCTGGACAATCATTCCAATGTTTTAAAGCATCTTGAAAACTACTGAGTAGTGGTAAGCTGACTTCAAAAGGGACAATTATGTCTCATCTGCATTAAATCTAGCAGATTCAGTATATTTTATTTAAGTCAAGTTTGGATTTGCTTTTTTGTATTTTGAGGTAAAGGAAAAGTGGGAACACAAGCAGAGACCAGCAGGGGCTAAATTCAGCCTACTGCATATAACCTGGCCGAGGTACAGGAAGCAGAACTGGCATTACTCTGTCTATGACTTCGTGTGCATCTTGTCCTCTCTTTTACCTCTACAGTTGAGCAATGTTGAGCAAGATGAAAGACAAGCTGACCTTGTAAGCTATGATGGCTGGTAGTTTTATGTCACTTCCTTTAACAATTGCTTAACAAATTCATGTCTGTATCCTCTAAAAATTGTTTTTCTGTTGCGTGCATTGGAGAAAAAAACAATGTTTTTTCTCCAATGCACAAATACCTTTTGGCTGAAATTGCAACTTCTGCGGGTGGGCAGTTCATGCGGCTCATCGCAAACATGCTGTTAGAAATATGCTGCAAAGTCAATATGCTAAGTCAGCGGTTTCAAACTGTGGTCCACAGAGCCCTAGGGGTCCACACTGATTCAGTGATCGCTCTACCAATGACAGGTAAGGGTTTCCAGCTGTAGTTGTGTTCTCACAAGTTGCAGTGCACTCTTGTTGGCGAGTGCGTTTTTAATACGCGCTTTTGCGGATAAAGCGTTTCCAAGGGCTTAGAGAAAGTTATTCATGTCAGGCTTAATCATTTTTGTGAAAAAAAAATATGCTACTTAGGGATTCTCAGTATGGTTTGCAGAAGAGTCGCTCTGGATCATAAAACTCTGTTAGAAAAGCTATATTCTTATAGAATTCGAGGGCGTTCCCTAGCTCTAATAGAAAACTACTTGTGCTTCTGGCAGCAGTGTTGAAATAAATGGATATTCTTCGATGCTGAAAGCAGTTCCAACAGCAGTACCTCAAAGTAGTGTCTCGGGGCTATTGCTGTTTAACCTATTCATAAATTATGTAGTTACTATCACAAGTAATGCCTCATTTGTCATTTATGACAAATCGGGCAGTATATGTATTTTGTTTCAGGAAAAAACATTGATATTTTAGTTACTGATGCAAATATGTGCCTAGAAAAACTTAGTTGGTGGACTGTTTCCAATTCTCTAAAAATAAATGAAATCATCTTCGAACCGAGAGGTACAGTGTTAATGCCACCACAAAATTAATGATGAATTCCTCCAAAGTTAAATTTATAACTACCATAGAATACCGCGCATCCACCCTTGCCACATTAAGTGCCCATTCCCAAACTTTTAAGATCTGAAAAAATGTGCACAGTACATTGATATGTAAAAGTGATGACCGGACAAGTGCCCATCCCCATTTTTTCGCGATTATCTTTAAATTTTTAGTGGGCGCTTGCCCGGTATTTTACGGTACTGTTAAAACCCTGGGCATGATTTTTCACAAACATATGTTAACTTATGGGACTCGCATGTTCAAAATCTTACTCTCAAACTCTCGAATATCATAGATGTTCTATATAAGCATCGCTATATATTACCATTTCGTGTAAAACTTTTAATTTACAATGCAGTATATAATTCTCGTATACCATACTGTCATCCGGTTTGGGGAACTACAACAAGCACTAACTTTAATAAATTGTTTTTGCTGCAGAAAAAGCAATTTGCATCTTAAGTAATGAGTCGTATTGCACACATACTGAACCTCTTTTCTGTAAACAATGAAAATCAAAGAATATTTTCAATATAAGCTAGCAGCAATGTATTGGCATCACTTAAATTTCCTAATGATCCATTATGACGAATTTCCAAGTTAACGTTAACTAAAAAAAATATTTCATTTGAAATGCGCAGCGCGGGATCCTTGAGAGTACCATGTCCACAAACTAATTACGGGCTTCAGATGATTCAGCACAGATTTCCAACAGTATTAAATTTTTTCAAAGAACAAGGTGTCTGCACAGAAAATTTCAATAAGAATACATTGCGTGAAATATTGTCCTTGTAATAACATCTTTCTCGGTGTGGTGCATAAATGTCCTTTTCTGTTTTAAATACCTAATGCAATTGTATCCCGCTGACCGATCTGCCTGTGGGGGCAGGGGCTTTGTCAAGCTGCACTTTCGCAGCTTTTTCTCCTGCCTCCGTCGCCCATTTTGTATTGTGGGAGTAAATAAAATGAAGTGAATTGAATATGTGTTGCCATTTTCGCTTTTCGCTGCAAGAGCTCTTTGGGCTCGTCCGCCAGATGCCAAAGGCAGTAAACAGGATTTATACTAATCCGGATTGACTACAACTTCAACCGATTTACGGCAACGCAAGTTCCTCGATGTGTGCAACACGTCTGTGTCATATCTACATATTCATTGGAGCTCTGCAAATGAGCCGCAAGATAGTTGGGGGTTTGCAATGTTTGAGAAGCGTCGTGCTAAGTCACCGTTGAGAAGGACGGCATTCCCTAAATGGCAGCACGCAGAGAGTTACACTTGCCTGAGGGTCTTGGAAGACCTGCTGCATGTTCTGGATTGGGCCATAGGGGATTTCCGAGCCTTCAAACAGGCTGAGCCACTCCTGCGTCGGCTTGGTCTTGAACCTGGTCAGTAATCGAGGAGATGGGCGTTGTTGCAGCGGTGACGATAAATTAAGCCTGGCAATGTTCCCACGCTGACACCGGGTCATCCAGCGGTCCGGTTTTGGTCAAAGTGAGTGCAGAAGCGTTCTTTGCTGCCGATCGGATGTGAATTCAGAGCTTCCTGCCAAGCGCACGTAATCGGCCATTGATAAAGTTTTTCTCCATTTCCGAGCCTACCGTTGGGCGGTTCATTGGTACCATTTATTTATTTATTTATTTCAATACCCTCAGGGCCCAGAGGGCATTACAGAGGGGGTAGACAAGAACAACAACAATGCAAAAACATAAAAAAGCAAAGCAAAGGCCAACAATGCACTTCTGCTAGAGAGAAGAAAAGATCAGCCTAATATGTATTAGCAAAAATGATTAACTAATGCAGCTCTAAATAAATCAACTGATGATATGTTTACAAAAGATGCGGGAAGGTGGTTCCAATCGGAGGACGTTCGAGGAATGAAGGAGTCAATGTATGCCGAGGTTTTGCAAAGAGGTATGCCGACTTTGAAGCGATGATCGATGCGGGGAGAAATGAAAGATGAGCTCAGAAGTAGTTTGTCCTTCAGCGAGGCGTTAGAATGATACATTTTGAAAAACAGGCATAGGCGTGATATTTTTCGTCGTAGTGAAAGAAGAGGCAGAGATAGAGTTGATTTCATAGATGATACACTAGCAGTGCGGTGATAATTGCAGAAAATGAAACGCACCGCATGATTTTGCATGGCTTCAATGTTATTCATGAGCGTCGTTTGGCCGGGATCCCAGATTGCTGCAGCATACTCGAGCTTTGAGCGAACTAGAGTTTTGTATAAAATTAGTTTGAGGGACATAGGGACTGAAGAGAAGTTTCTTTTGAGATACCCAAGCATAGAGTTAGCATTAGCGATAATGTGATCAGTATGAGCTTTCCATGACATGTTAGAAGTAATATGTATGCCAAGATATTTATAAGAAGACACAAACTGCAGAGGAGTGTTACAAATTGAGTATGACGATGGGGTCTTGATACCACGAGAGACACTCATAGCTTTACATTTATTAGTATTAAGAGACACCAGTCGGATACCACGCATAGGTCATCTTGAAGAAGTGCGGTATCAGAATCGTTAGTAATTTCACGGTAGATTACACAGTCGTCGGCGAATAAACAAATGGATGATGATACACACATGGGTAGGTCATTTATATAAATAAGAAACAAAAGGGGCCCTAAAACGGACCCTTGGGGAACACCAGATATAACGGGACTGAGAGAGGACTTAGCTTCATTGGTAGTAACAAATTGAGAACGATCAGTTAAAAAACATTTAATCCATGACAAAACATTCGGGTCTATCTTAAGTTTACTAAGTTTATAAAATAGGCATTTGTGAGAAACTTTATCGAACGCTTTGCAAAAGTCGAGGAAGACACAGTCAACCCGGGATCCACGGTCAAGAATGGAAAGGAGGTCATTAGTAAAAGTTGAGTTTCACAGGACAGTGATTTGCGGAAGCCATGTTGTGAAGGCGAAAAAAAAAAATTCGAATCTAAGAAATTTACCAGATGAGAGTAAATTATGTGCTGTAAAAGTTTACAGGGCATGCTGGTTAAGGAAATGGTTCGATAGTTAAGAGGACTATGTTTGTCACCTGTCTTGTGAAGTGGAACCACCTTCCCTATTTTCCAGTCACTTGGCAAGACACCAAGGCTAAGGGATTGTTCAAAAATTTTAACAAGATAAACGGAGATGTAAATTTTAGTGTGCTTTATAAATTTAGGGGTAATATTGTCAATGCCACAAGAAGATATTTTCAAATTGTCGATAAGTTTAACAATTCCGTCATAATCAAGTATAAGAGGATCCATGGGGAAAAAATCATAATCTGGATACATAGGAAAACATGAGCCAACGTCACTGGAGAATGCCTTAACAAACATATCATTTAAAACAAAGGCACACTGCTCTCTCGGAATGTCGACGCCACCAACCCCAGTAAGCGTAATATCAGTCCTCTTTGGTCCGTTTACGACACTCCAAAATTGTTTAATACTATTGGATAGCATAGAAGGTAGGGTTACATTAAAAAGATTCTCTTGTCTTCATCGATGGCTGCCTTATAAGCATTTGCAGCTGTTTTATAAGCTACCCAATGCTTATCACAACCAGACGATTTCGCAGTGCGGAAAAGGCGTTTTTTCTTGTTAGAAAGACATTTAATGACGTTAAACCAAGGTGACGATACGTTAGAAAAAATGAACCTGCATGGAATGAAAGAGGTAATTAAAGTTTATCTTGTCCTTAAACAAATTCCAGTTAACTTCAACGGAACGTTCAGAAAAGTCAAGTAGGTACTCATTAAGGAAGCCCGCTAACTCATTATTTATCGCTTCAAAATTTCCCTTACTGTAGTCTGGGAATTGTTTTCTGGCTTTATTGGAAGTACACGCTGAAGTAAACAAATTGAACTGCAAAATTGAATGATCACTAATACCTGGTAAATAGGTTATCGAGGAAGCGAGATTGGAGTCAGTTGTAAGTATAAGATCTAACACATTGGCAGTTGTACCGGAAATCCGTGTAGGTTCGGTAACACCTTGTGAAAAAGAAAAATCTGAACACAAATTAAGGAAATCATGGTAATGGGGAGAGCTGCAAGAAGTAGCAGGATATTCTCCCGACCAATCAATAAGGGGTAGGTTAAAATCACCGAGTAAAAACACAGGCGCCAGAGGAAACCTAGAATAAATGGCATTCAAAGCATAGCGGAAGAAGTCTCGCAGCCTTCTATATGCTTGGCCTGAGTACTCCATCCACTGGTCAATGTCAGTTTGAGTACGGCAGCACAATTTGCAAAAGAAAGCATGGGTTCTCAATCACTTCCAATGTGATATAGCGGGCAATAACAATTTCGGTCTGCTTTGGATCTCGCTTTGGACCGGCACTCGCTTCGCACAAGACAACTAACTATTCTTTTTCTTTGTTAGCTAACAATGTTTGGTGCTTTCACGATTTATTTCCATCTGGGTATGACGCTTAAGCGAACAAACCCCATTCTTTCCTCGCAGCGGTGGACAAATCGCCTGGATTGATACCTTAGCTTGCTCCATGAGAGTGTAATTCAACATTGCCCTTGCTCTCACTGTGACAAGAATTGGATCCCGGATGAAGTTGCTGTTTACATTCCAGTTCTCCCGACTCTGCCTCAAGTTGGAAGAGAGAGCTCTTCGAGGAACTGTCGAAGCACTGGCAGAGAGTCGTACTACCGCAACTGACCAGGCAATTAGTGTTTAACTGACTTCAACATCACACTAAAAGCGCTTCAGGGTACTGACTAACATTAGTCATCGAGTTTGATGGAAGTGGGGATTACTGCTTCTCTATTATTGCCCAGGCTTTGAAACTGTTTCATGACACGGCAATTAAATGTGCGGGCTTAGGTCTTGCTGATCAGTCTTACTGTAACAGGATGGCTCAAATTAATCCGACGCTGTAAACTAAGCCTTAACTGTTGGTGCCTGGACGTAGAAAGCTCCAACATTCATTGAATTCATCGAACTTATCCAAGAAACTAACACATTGCTGACAAAACAAGTTTGACGCAAGTTTAGTGACATCTAATAATGGAGTTATCTGGGATTTTATTTTTTGCATGTCCTGACTCGACATTGAACCATCTTAGTGCTAAATCTCCAATCTCTGCCAATGAGAAGGAAGCGAGGCACACGTGTGCTGCACATACACTCTGTTGAGGATGTCCGTGAGCGCCTCCCTGTGCTTGACGCGGCTGGCGTTGTCCTTGAAGCGGGTGTCGACGGCGACCTGGGGGAGGCTCATGACCTTGCACATGGCCTGGAACTGCTTCTCGCTGGCCGCTCCGACGGTCAGGTGGCCGTCGAGCGTCTCAAAGGCAGCGTACGGCACGATGCTCTCGTGGCCAGTACCCTGCCGCGTGGCCTCTTTGCCCGCATTAAGGTAGTTGGACGCTATGTTGGCCAGGCAGGCGATCTAGGAACAGGTAACATCATCAATCAACCATTTTTTGAATTCCCCGTCTGACGTTTTCTCAGTACGAAGGTATCCGGTCGTGGCACGTGCGAGCGTGAACATTCCTTCGAGCAAGGAAACTAGAATCCTGTTGGGCCCATTGAGCTGCGATCACCTAGACTGATCTGCCAAAACATTGCTTTTGTGCTCATTGTGGCTTATGTTTCGCCCCCAAGTTCATACTAAAAAGCTTCCCCCCCCCCCCCCCCCCAAAAAAAAAAGAAAGATATGGACTTTTGTATTATGTGGCGTAAGGTTGGTCTGCCTTTGAGGTGCGGCAACTGTTTTATGCTGTAGATGAGAAATTTAGCCAGTGCAGTAGCACTGCCAGCCTGGAGTCTTTAACGTGCATCATGCAGTAGTGATGCACGACCGCACTCCGATACGATGCTCATCCGGATTGAAACGTGCAGGGTTGGCATTGAACCCTGGGCTCTGCAACGCAAGCTTTCGCTCCACATACTCAGAGCTGTGTTGCGCTAACACTCTCGACCACCAATCCCCTCTTTTACTTGAAGCTTCTCGCCACCCCCTTTAATAGCACCTTTTGTTTCCTAGAGTTTCCTACCATGGAAGCCTCGAACTAAGTATTGGGGTGCCAGTTCTTCAAAAAGTGGTGAATTTTGAGCGGATGGGTGCGGGTGTTTCTAAGCTAGGTGGTACGTGCTACCACCCAATACAAAAGATGAATGAATGGAGGGATGGCCACTGCTATACATACATACATTCATTTGGTATAGAGGGCCCCTGTCCACACTCACGAGTACACGACTGTCACTCATCCTGCACTGCGTTAATAAGGTTTGAAAAATGTCTACTGAACAGCTTACATTTCATCCAGACGGTGGTTTAAAAAGCGCGAAGGACTAAGAAGAGGAGGGGACAGGACAGAGCACTTACTTACAACTGTCAAATTTAATAGAGCATCTAGAGAACGTTCTCTAGATGCTCTATTAAATTTGACAGTTGTAAGTAAGAGCTCTGTCCTGTCTCCTTCTCTCCTTAGTCCTTTGCGCTTTTTAAACCGCCGTTTAGATATCCAACCAACTAGCCCTCCAATTGATATAGATTCGTTTCATCCGTGTGGCCGTCTAAAAATCGCTGATGCTGGTTCTGCACAACCAAGCTCCCAACAGTGCTCAGATTGCGAAGTTATAAAAACCATATTTGTAGCCTAGCGCAGGGGTGCCCCAGAGAAATCTCGAGGTTTACACAAGAGCCGGGATAAAAGACAAGTGAAAAGCCAGGAAAACGTGGCAACCCATCTTCCCATCAATGTGCAATGTCCTCTAGCCCTGCAGTGTAAGTAGAGCTGTAGTAAGTTGCAGGTTAAGGAAGCGGGTGAAGCTCCTCCCCTAAACCCCTCCAGTGTTTCCATTTCAGCAGAGCGAACACCAGGGGGCGGGCCTGTGGAGATGAAGAAACCGCCAATCATGGTGAGCAGATTTGTGGCCCCTGCTTTTCTTAACCTAAAGCAGACTATACATCCACAAATTGATAGCAATGTGATCTTGGCCTAAGCCAAGATCACATTGGCAAAAGTGTTGCACTCTTTACGTTCCTTTTCACAGTACTGGCACCCCTGATGCAGAAGCTGCTCGTCTATGTGCACAAATGTGGCTGTAGTAATCTCAAGCATTGACTAGAAGAGCCGAGTGGATGCTCCGACGTCATTTGCCTCCGTCACCACCGAGTTTGGTTGTTTCTTCACATGTCCCAGATGGGGTCTTTCCTGTCACTGCAGGCCGAGCGTTAATGCATCGCACCTCAGAGCAGGTGGAGCGAAAGCTCGTGCTGCAAAACCCTGGAATCCTGGTCTCAGTCCCCACCCCTGCCAGTTTCGACCTGGATGAGCATCATACTGGCGTGCGGTCGTGTATCACTACTGCGTGGTGCACGCTAAAGACCCTAGGCTAGTGGTTGTACCACACTGGCTCAATTTCTAATCTACAGCTAAGACTCCAGACGCCCATCGAGGCAGTCTAACTTCAGGCTGTATAAACATACATGCAACAAAGTAGAAAACTGGGCCAGCTGGTAATAATTAAACATGGTTGATGAAAATCAGGTAAAAAAACGGGGACAAAGAAAGAAACTTGACAGCTAGGACAGTTCCGTCCTGTCGTGTTTGTTAGTTTCTTCGTCCCCATATTTTTTTAAGCTGATTTTCATTAACCACGTTTGATACATAGAACGCAATTATTTTATGGCAACCTTGGACTCCGGTCAGCCTCGCAGCAGATTACAACAGTGGTTAATAAGAGTGCACAGTTAGGAGCTCCGTAAGATTACTGCTATCTAGTGAAAACACTCAGTTGACACACAGGTGTCGGCAACCCTCTTAGTGCAAACCTGCAACTGCCTTTATATCCTCGTAGCCATTTAAAGGGATGTAAAGACCCCTCCGGGACAACTGAAGCTCCTCCCTGTCATTCTCGTATTGTTGGGCTAGTGCACGATACGAAGGGCACAGCCAATACCATCCATTTATCCTTGTATGTTACTCTCGAGGGCATCTGTTTACAGCACCCATGAGGTGACACAGATAGTACGTGTACAGTTTTGCCACACTTCCTCCCGTGGGCAGTGGCTGCGGCCGTACCTGGGTGGACAGGAGGTTGCAGTTGATCCACTGTCCCTTCCCGGTGGTCTGGCGCTGCAGCAGGGCGGCCATGACTGCTCCGTGGGCGTACAGCCCCGTGCAGATGTCCGTGATGGCCACGCCCACCTTGCAGGGCTCGCCATCGGCCGGCCCAGTGATGTGCAGCAGACCCCCCATGGAGGCCGCTATGACGTCGTACCCTGCTCGATCCCGGTACGGCCCCCTGGGATTATACCCTGGGCTCGAGGGAGGAGCACCATAAGGTTATAATGTGCAAGGTGTCCTCACCGTGGAGTCGTCGTAATAATCTAGAGGGAAAGTTCTTATGCATGGGGTCACTCGGGAACGGTGGGGCATAGAAGCGGACGTTGGCAATCTCAGTTGGTGGTCCCGATGGGCCCATACCACTGGCGACACCTAAAGGCCCGTTCCACACCCTTGCGACTTCTTAGAATGGAGTGTCTTGAAATCTCTTAACATTTCTTAGGACGAGAGAACACACAAGCATGCTGGCGCCATCTATGCGGTGACCCTGGAACTGCATTTCACTAGATTGAAGGTTTTGCGGGATTTCTGAGGCCAAATGTGCATAATACCTATGAGAAGTGTTCGTTTATAACGTTGGAAAAAGTATTTCGAGCCAGAAAAAGAAAAGGTAATGCACGAGAGAAACAGAAAATATGCGAAACCACCAAGTTTCCATTGCTGCCCAATAGATGGCACCAGTGTGTCCTCTAGTCTTAAAAGATATTAAGAGGTTCCAAGGCGCTCGGTTCTAAGAGGTCGCAAATGTGTGAACGGACCTTAAATATGCACAAAGAAGCAGCAAAATGTCATGTGTCGTCTGTACCATGTTCGTTTCTAGCTTATTGTGCAGGAAAACACCAGAATCGCATAATGTATGAAACTTAATAAAGTTGAAAAGCACTCGAGCAACTTCAACTTGTCGTGGCAGAATGAACAGCCCTAACCTTTCGTCTGCTTTCTTTCTCCGCTCTCCCTTTTTCATTCTTTCTCTCGGAATCGCCGATATCAGCGCCCAGAATTTGCCGCATTCTGCTCCCCTCCTTACCCCCCAGATTCTCACTCACCCTCTTCAGTTGGTACAGACGCTTTTCAGAACCCCATCGAGCGACATTGGCAGTCGCCATGGGCTTAGAAGGGCGAGGGGAGGAATCATACTTTTGGTTTCCAGTTTCTAGGCTAGGTGGCGCAAGCTATCACCCATTATAAAGGGTAGAGTCGTCAGCATCAGAGCCGTATATGTAGAGAGTTTAGTCAATGGGAGGCGCGGGCAGAGCCAGGGCGTGCGGCAGACTCGGGAAGAGGGCTTGGCATGCTCTCTTGACCAACCAGAAGCCGAAAAGAATCCCCTAGCGGTGGTAGCGAGAAACAGTTCTGATCGAAAGTCTATGTTCGTATACGGTTTTAATAAATGCGTAAGAGCGAAGTGTAGTAACTCTTGGTGGTTGAAAATGGGCTCACGTGTTGTTTTGATCATGATCATCGAGAAAGATGTAAGAAACGAATGCGCCGCTCAACTCTGTTTTGCACGGACAGTGTGTGACCGCTCGGACGGCAGATTCCCGGACCTCGGCGTTTGACGTACGGATTATGTCAATCGTTCCGCTAGTCGCACTCTTCCACCATCATTTTTGATGAGCGTGATCGGTACATCACGTGTACCATATTTTCAGCCATCGAGAGTTACTCTAATGCAGTTATCAGGTTTGTTTCTCGCGACCACCGCCAGGGTATTATTTCCGGCTTCTGGTTGGTCACATTTGAATTTCTGAAGACGCCCTGGAACACGCCCAGCCCGCTTTCGGCCAATGGCGCCTCCTCATTTGTCTTCTATACTTCCCAACGAATGACCAAACTATCTACATGTACGGCTCTGGTTATAGCATCCTTCCATCCATTGGGCATGAAGCATGCTATTGAATCCGAGTCCTCGCCAAACGCTGATGCTGCACTTGTTTTTGATACGAGCTGAGCCGCATTCATGTCGAACGCTGACGCAGCCCTCACGTTAAATACATGCTCGGAGTGGATGACCAAACAATGGCAGACTTGGGTGATTGGTGCAGCAGCCACTAGGTGGCACACACTTCTGAAAAGGGTCTATTAATTACCCATGTTTTCCTCGCTAGTTCAGGTGCTCTCAATCGCTTGTCTGGACAATTGTTTTTTTTATTTTTTTTTAGATGTGTGTGTGTGTGTGTGTGTGCATTTCTTTGCAAACGTTTGAGAGAATTTTGGCCAAACACAAATCGCTTGTGCATAAAAAAGACCCACACTTCTGCCTTCTTGCAGAACTTGTGAGAGCAAAGATCTGTGCACCGAGCTAGTAATCACAATGCACCAATAATGCCTGTACACAAGCTTGATACCCGAGATGGGTTGTGAGCATGGCAAATGCCAGCCTTATCATCCACTAGGCTCCTTCAGAATCATCATGATGATTGCAGAGCATATAAAATTGGCGGGCATGTGTGCCTTTTCTGAACGTGCCGTGTTTAAGAAAGTGTTGTACTTAGATCTCGTTTCAAAAACACTGCGTCAGTGTAGATGTTTCGATCCATTGGTCAGATTGAAACTGTGCTTCTATGGGGAGTCCCTAAAAAAAGTTTACAGAGTTTTTTTCACCGCAAAAATAAATCATGCACCGCCAAACGCTCATTCTCCGCCCAAAAGTAACGCTAGAGGTCCAAACCAGATGCCAAAGTTTCACCCCAAACCTATATTTTATTCAACAGTTATAACTGATTTTCCGAAAATGTAAACAGGAACACGGTGGCCGACGTAATTCTCGCATACATGGTGCTGTATGGCGCCAGAAACCGAAAACGGGCAAAAATGGGCCCCATTTTCCTAATGAAATTTTTAGAAAACCACTTATAACTTTTGAATAAAATATTGGTTTGTGCTAAAACTGACATCTGGTATGGACCTCTAGCGCTACCTTTCGGCAAAGAATGAGCGTTTGGTCATGCATAGTTTATTTTTGCGGCGAAGAAAACCCCGTAAATGTTTTTTTGGAACACCCTGTGTATTAGTCACTGACAAGGCAGGGATGAGCTTCAGCTGTCCCTCCCTAACTGCAAGCTTCCTATCTTTGTCAGGCCTCCCGCACTGAAGACTAACTGTGACACCCTCTCTTTGGGTAATGCAAGCTCACCAAGATGGATCTCGCACTACCTGTGTCGCCCTCGTTTTGAGTAGTACGGGCTCACGTGATTAGCCACCAGAGGGGGCTGTACATAATGACCTCATCGCTGAAATATTTTCCCTTTTAGTAGTGCTGGCAAACAGAAAACACGTTTTTATGTAAAAAATCGCCTAGATTCGATGCCTTAAAACAATAGAAACTGCAAGATTCATGCCCCCCTAGGGTATGCATCTCCTAGTTGTTGGTGGTAATGCCAGACCAGCGTCGTGGCGCTTTGGTTTCTTTTCTTTCATCTCAAACGCGCGAAACGGCGGCATCTCCCACCCCGAGCTTTTAGCGTCTCAGCTTTGACCCGTGTTAGGGAGTTTAAATTTTCGCTCTTCCTTTGCGTGTTTCCCGTGACCATGTGCACCGCAGCCGAAACGCTGGTACACGCGTTTAGTTTGAGACGTGCAAGTTTGTACTATCCATAGAGGGTGACTCTGTAACATATGCAAGACGACCTCTTGTCACGATTGTATGATATCCTGCAGCACCCTGTATCCGTGCGCATGTGAGTGGGAACTATTTTTAAGTGTCATACCTGTCACAGAGCAGTAGACAATTTGAGGTGCAACCGCCTCGATATCCTTGTAGCCAAGACCCAGAGTGTCCAGCTTCCTGGGCAGGTAGTTTTCCATGAACACATCACACGACGTAGCTATCTGAAACCATTGGGATTACTGTTGGTAGGAGTCTATTCCACGCACAATGATGAGGAAATTTACCTTCCTGACCAAGCTGGCACCCTCTGGTTTCTTCAGGTCAATGGCTACGCTCTGCAACAAGTTATAGCAATTCATTGTTTTCCAAATCTGTGCTGCCACCTAAACAAGCAACTGGGTTCGAGACTAACTGCATGACTAAAAAACAATGTGTGCAGAAGGCATCTCCCACCCGTTCGATACCCAAAACTTTGCCCAAAACATCAGCTAGTGACTTCGATGTATGGCTCTTCAAAACTTCGCTGTTGTCTCCTTCGAGGGTTATTTTCGGCCACGAAGTTTAAACAAAGAAAACACCTTTCCATGCTCGGCCAGAACGAAGAGAGAGAGGATATGTAGCAAATCCATTTACACTCAAATCAATATTTCGGCAAAAGAGGGTAGGGTGAACATGCGAACGACAGCCGATATGTGCTGCAGCGCCTTGCTGAGACGTCCTTGCAGATTAACACGAGAGGACCATAGTTGGCACGTAGCTCAAGTTTACAACAGCCCGTCTCTTCGCCCTGAGCGAGGGACATCCACCTACTCTCACCTTCAAATTTAAGCGTGCCACTGCGAGGCACTGCATCGCCGATAGGCTAGATCGACTAACTGCCACTCGTGTGTTCACCCTCATATTTATTGTGACTCTACCTTGAACCTGCTGACAGACAAGATTAAGCTATGCGGAAAGCAAGTCATCTGCTTTTTGTGCATCAGTTGTGATGACGTTAAAACGACGCCCAGCTCCGATTGGCTCAAATTGAAGGACAGTGGGTAGACCTCAAAGCAAGCAGCCTTTAGGTCTACCCGTGCACTATCCTTTAGTCGGAGCCTATCAGCTGGAGCTCGGTCTTCTGACGTCACCACAACCCCTCCAAACGAAGCAGACAATCTTGCGCTCCGCATTGATTGCAACTGCACCTTCTTGTTCCTGTTGACAGACAAGAAGTAGCAGCTCTGGTCCGCGATGAATGGTGGTCCCCAGTTTCGAGTTTCGTCGCCAATAACTGCAAAAAAAAGAAAAAAAGTGTATATTACGGTGGCAAAGCTAGCTGAAAGAATCACTTACAGGGTTTTTCGATCTTGATAACTTCAGCCCCCAGGTCACCCAGTATCATGGTGCAGTACGGTCCCGCCAATATTCTGCGGAACCGTGAAGACGCGCCTCGGATTAACGCGTTTATGGGTTTTTTGGTAGTGTACTGCGGCAGTCACGACCGTTTTTACGCGACAAATGTCATGCATGCTCGCAAAGAGGTGTGCGCAGGCGATGCCCACTTACCGTGTCAAATCAAGCACCCGAATTCCAGCCAGTGGTCCATCCAACTTGCCCGTTGATGCAGCTAAAACCAACAGGTTAAGAAAAAGTGTAATGGAAAGTTTCGGGAGGCAACGATCAGACTCGTGACTGTACCTCGTTTGGTGCACGTGCTCCATTTAATCCATTGATAGGTCCAGTTTGAAACGCGGTTTGCGAATGACATTGTGATTTACGGGTACACCTACACTCTCGCGTTCATTGCTGGGACTCGGCTGGCAATTAACCTCGGGCAGCAGACGAATCCAGGGGGGCTATGTTCGACAAATGTTACGTTTCTCCTAAAAAGAAACGGAAGTGACGGAAATGACGAGATCGCGTCTGATTGACTAGAGGTTCAAATGACGAAAGAGGGAACTTTCGTCAATTGAGCCTCTAACCAATCAGACGCGATATCGTCACTTTCGTCACTTCCGTTTCTTTTTAGGAGAAACGAAACATTTGTCGAACATAGCCCCCCAGGTTCCAGCTGATATTGTGCCGCCCAACGTTAGTGCCGCCGTTATCGCAAATTCGTCTGCTAGACTGCATCACTAGCGATTAGAGCTGCCCGCGATGTAGCGGGTAAGCTAGGCGGCAATTGAACGTTGTGAACTCGAAATTTCCATTTGAAATGCATTACTTAATTAATAGCCACCGGTTAATGCAGTGTGTAAATCCGTAACAGAAACCGCATGAAAGGCTAAAAAAAAATATTTCGTATTTGCTTTTAAGGGCATAAGATGGCACCACAAACAGCTATCGTTATGGTTGCTTTTTGATTTCCTAGATGGCGCGACCTACCGTCTAAACTATAGGGCTTCACCCTATGCCTACCGAAGACAACATAGATTTAATAAAGTCATTGGGTTTTAGAGACAGCGAAGGGAGAGTGGATTTCAAGACTAGAGATTACCAAGCAAAGATTAAGTGAATGGTGGCAGAAATCGAGAGAAAACTAGGTATTTTCTTAATCACTGATGGCAAGGGGGTTTCATAGCCTCACTTTCTTCGCACGGCGGAGTGAATATACAGGGTGTCACAAAAGAAAATTTACACGGTCTTTTTTCCCGCAAAAATAAACTAGGCATCGCCGAACGTTCATTCTCCGCCCAAAGGTAGAGCTAGAGGTCACAACCAGATGCCAAAGTTTCAGCCCGATCCGATAACTTCATCAAAAGTTACAAATAATTTTCTGAAAATTTCAATGGGAAAATGGCGGCCGACGGAGTTTTCAAACACATGGGACTCTATGGCACCAGAAACCGAAAACGGTCAAAAATGGGCTCCATTTTCCCATTGAAATTTTCAGAAAATAACTTATAACTTTTGATTAAGTTATCAGATCGGGGTGAAACTTTGGCATCTGGTTGTGACCTCTAGCTCTACATTTGGGCGGAGAATGAGCATTCGGCGATGCCTAATTAATTTTTGCGGTAAAAAAGACCGTGTAAATTTTCATTTGTGACACCCTGTAGATTTCACATTTAAATATTCTAAGCTTAAATGGTAAAACAAAATGGCTAGGTGGCGTAAGCTACCGCCCGATCCAAAGGGCTCAGCCGTATTCATCCATCCATCCATCCACGTGGCGGTGATATTGTGTATATTTTTATCTACTCTAACCGCTTAACAACTGGCTTGACTCCCCCTTCTCTGCGCCCCCCACGCACGGTCGGCGGTCGGCTAGCGTCGGCGTTGTCGTGTACGTGGTGGGCTCGCGCGTCCGCCAGTCGGCTTTTGGGCTGGGAGTTATGTGCGGGTCGGGGAGCGCCAGCGCGGTCGGCGTGCAGAAACGAGGACACGTTATGAGTTTACTAATCGCGTCTGCGTTGTGCTTACTGACTAGTGTGTGCGCGTTCAACCTGGAACCCAGGTTACCCGTGCTCAAACTTGGCCCCAAGGGTACCTACTTTGGATACACCGTCTCCGAGCACCAGGTGCTAAACGAAAACAAGAACAGCGTTATCGAGCACATGTGAGTACTACATGCCGCTTGTCTCGCTCGTCGTTGCCCGCCCAAATCCGAGTCCGACAACTTTTTTTGCCGGAGTGGGACGGGCACGCTGTACGACGCATTTTTGGGACCCCACTTTTTTTTTATCGACCACGAGAAGTTCTCGACTTCGTTCGGGACGTTCAGCGCTTTTTCTCGGCGGAACACCTTGGGAAGCGAGCGGTCGAGCGAGCGTAAACATGCCCTTGGACGTCGAAGACATAAAAACGGAGGGAAAAAAATAAGAAGTTAATAATAGTTCCGGCACTTTGACGCCCGCGGTGTCCTCGTCTCGGTCGCGTTTGCGTCGCTGACGTTTTGATGCAAACCGTGTGTCTACCGAAGAAAACAGCCGCAGGAATGCACCGCCGGAGATCACCAAGTTCCGCCCGGTGGAACCGCTCCCGAGTTATGTTAGCGTTCGACAGATTGCTCGGAGCCTCCTACTCGGTCCGTTTCGGAAGACGTGCTGCCCGAAAGCGGGGGTAGCATGCGTGCCGCTGCACAGCCGTCTCGGGGGAAATCGACGCCCCTCCGAGTGGGACTTGCGGTGTGGGCGCGTCGGTCCCTGTTCGCTCTCTGCCCAAACTTGGGGCTGCCTTCTTTCGTGCGCTGGCAGCGCAAAACATCGACAAAAGAGCGCGCCCGCCCGCACAAACCGCGCCGCCAGCTGTAACACCTGTAGGTATCGCGTGCTGCTGCGGTCGCTGTGTTGCTGGCCGGTTCCGGGGACTGCGTCTGTCCGTCTGGGAGGGGTCAGTCGCCGGGTTTGCCAACTCTGCCGGAAACTGGGCAACCCGCTGGCGCCCTAAGTAGTTTAATTTTGTTCCGTTGTTTTACTTTTTTATTGGCGAATACTGCCGATTCAATCGTGGTAATCGTCGGGCTGGGAGAGTATGCATACAAATACAAAGCATCCAAATGTGAATGCGGAAACAAATGCACTTAAAGAATCTCAAAACCACTGTCCAAATGTCCGAAAAAAAAAAAAAAAAAAGTTTTTTTTTTCGTTTTTTTTGTCATAAAATATGAAACAAAGTCAAAACCTCATACTGAAAAAGAAAAGAAAAAAAAATGTCCAAAGACTTTTTTTATCTCGACATTAGTTCAAGACAGGTGAAAGGATCCGTTTCACCTGCTCGTCGCCTGTGTCTTACATATGAAGCCGCCAAAGCAATCATTGTTTAGCGTTTTTATTCCCCCCACTTATCGCTCAAGTTTTGGAAACACGATTATTGTGCCATCTGCCAGTTATCCGTCATCTCGAACTTGACAGCAGTATTATTTTTTTTTATTTTTGCGCATAGGTATTGTTGTATGTAGACGCGCAGTGTTTCCGCGCCGCCGCTCAAGTTCTCTTATTATTCGGGTGGAGGGATTCGAGTGTTCAGCCGCCCAAAAGGTGGGCGTGAACACCTAGTATTCCCGCTTTACAACTGCGGATAAAAGATGAGCGCCAGCCAGTACCGATTTCCACCGCGGGCTTCTTTTGCGGGTTAGCAAGTGCTGCATCCGACTCGATGGTAGCGTCAGCCCGAGCCTCGTGCCCACACCTGCGCCGGGAAAGGCGTCGGGGGTTGTTTGGGCGCGCGACGGGGAAGTAGAAAACTTCCCCAAGCGCGATCTTCGCTTCCGTCTTTGGCTCGGGTTGCTTGCCGGCCTTGGTCAACGATGCGTGCGCTGGTGCTCGCCGAATCGTGCAAAAAAAAATATATATATATATATTAAGGTGTCGAACCGGAACCGAACCGAACCGAAAACCGGAACCGAACCGATATTTTTTCCGGAACTGAACCCGAACCCGAACCGTTATATTGTTATCGCGATGAACCCGAAACGGAACTGAACCGGAAAAAAAATAACTGTTACCGGCTCATGTGAAAACGGTTCGGCCACGCGCTGTTGACAATGAATGTGCTATCAATGCCATTTGTTTTTTAAGTTCCGTCAACTGGCACACACCTCGCTTACATATTTTTCTTCTCCACTCAGTCTTAGGAATATAAACGCTGCATCCATGAATCTTGACAAACCCTGCATCCATGAATCTTGACATAGGAACCAGTATTGCGCTGGTCGCGGCTTGCACGGAAGAAAGAAAATTAAAAAACTGTGCAAAAAAAAAAAAAAAAATCGCGTTACGGGATTTCATTTTCCGACAATCTCGTAAATCCTTAATGCTGCTGTGTGCTCATTTCATAACACGTTTCTAGAACGCGCGAGTTCTTGAAGCTTGCTTCCATCGGAATGAGAAAAGAAAAGGCTGTGGAGTTTGATAATAATGCATCCGGTTTCGTATAGGCACTTAGAAGCTAACATATTTGTGAGACAGCGAACTCTTCTATTTTAATATTTATCCTATTACGTCCTTCTGGCGTTGCGTTAGGTGAAGTGTTTTTAGAGCGCAGCTCTTAGGGGCCCGTTCCCGGCTTGAGCGGCGTCGCCGTCGGCGTCGCCGTCGCCGTCGCCGTCGCCGTCGCCGTCGGCGTAACCGCAACCCTCGTAACCCTCGTGAGGGTTACGAGGGTTACGAGGGTTAATCTCATGAGGGTTACCCTCACGAGGATCACGAGGGCCACGAGGGTTACTTACCCTCGTAACCCTCACGAGGGTTACGAGGGTTAGTTACCCTCAAAAGGGTTACCTTCACGAGGGTTACCCTCACGAGGGTTACTTACCCTTGTAACCCTCACGAGGGTTACGAGGGTTAGTAACCCTCGTGAGGGTAACGAGGGTGAGTAACCCTCGTGAGGGTAACTCTCATAACCCTCACGAGGGTCACGAGGGTTATGAGAGTTACCCTCACGAGGGTTACTCACCCTCGTAACCCTCACGAGGGTTACGAGGGTTAGTTACCCTCACGAGGGTCACGAGGGTTATGAGAGTTACCCTTACGAGGGTCACGAGAGTTACCCTCACGAGGGTCACGAGAGTTGCCCTCACAAGGGTTACTACGGTTACCCTCACGAGGGTCACGATGGTTACCCAGGTCGTGACCCCCCCTGGGGTCACGTGACCTGGGGATACCCCCCAGGTCACGTGACCCCCGTTGACGTCATAGGCACTGATGACGTCGTCAGTGACGTCACTGATGACGTCACCGGCATCCGCATCGTCATCGTCATCATCACTGATGACGTCATTAGTGACGTCACTGATGACGTCACCGGCATCCGCATCGTCATCATCATCACTGATGGCGTCATCAGTGACGCTACTGATGACGTCATCGGTATCGTCACGTGGCCCCAGGTCACGTGACCCCCCGACGTCACGTGACGCCCCAAGGTCACGTGACTCCCACAAGGTCACGTGACCCACAAGGTCACATGACCCCCAAGGTCACGTGACCCCCCGCCCCCCGAGGTCACTTGACCCACCCCCCAGTACCCTTCCCTCCTCCTCCTCAAGAGCTGCGCTCTAATTCGGCGTTACAGGGAGTTGTAAACGGCTTTCATTTTTTATATTCCGTATCTTGTTTAATGAAAACTTCTTTAAGTGTCTAATTTGAGTTACCGAAGGCTAGGTCAAATAAAGAAAGCTGTATTTTCTCCCCACTGTTCCTTCAAATGCTTACACGCCGAGGTGGCGGGATAGTTATCGAGTTCTACTTGTAAGTGGGTTTGTAAGGAGGTCGCGGATTTTACAGCTACTGCGTCGGACCCAATTAGATGAAGTCCGAATGCGTAAACGTCGGTGAGGTAACCTTTGAGTGCACATAAAGGAACCATTCCTGGTAGAAATCCCTGAGCCTTACACTACGATGTATCCCGTTTCGTATGTGCTGATTTCAGATGTTTTATTTGTAATTTATTTTGATGTTGCAATTTGTCATTCATCATTTCCGAACCGGTTCGCGAACCGGTTCAGCGCCCCGAACCGGTTCGCGGACCGGTTCGCAGATCGAATTAATCGAACCGGAACTGAACCGGAACAAAATAAATTTACCTGAACCTGAACCGTAACCGAACCCGTATTTTTTTCGGTTCGACACACTGATATATATATATATATATATATATATATATATATTTATTTATTGGGGCAGAATGTGTATATTTTGTACAGAATATGCACATGTTTATAAAAAGAGTAATTTGCGTTTATTGTTGATGACCAAATAGAAGTGGTATTCAATGTTGGAATTGTACTATAGGTCGCTCTCTGATTACTATTCCATGTTAACGGTTTACATGAGTATCGGTGTATCTTGTTCTTGGCTTTTGGTGATTGGCTAGTTGACTAGTATTAAATGTTTTGTTCGTAATTTTATTAAGTTTTTTTTTCATATGTTGGTGGTTTCTTTAATTTCCTGTAACTATCAATCCTGTAAATCGAAATTCGAGTTAATAGTATTAATAAATAATTAAATAGAAAGTCCCCCCAAAAGTGTTAGGGAAGTGTAATGCAAACGTGTGACCACACGCAGTTTCGCCGCGAAATTGAACTGGAGAAAGTTATAACTTGCTCACCACAATCAGCTAATAGGGAAATAAAAAAAAAAGTTGTTTTTTAAATAAAATAAATCATACTTGTTTTATTAAATTAGCGTAGCTAGAGAAAATGTATCCTTTATTACTAATTGTATTTTTGAACATAGCAACTAGGTTGATTGATCGATCCATCGAATCACTAAAACGATTGCGGAAAGATTATTGTAAATTAGAAGTACAATAGTACAGTTTTATGAGTTCATAGCCCCCCCCCCCCCCCCCCCCCCCCCCCCCCTTCGTGTTTGGGAGTCTGGGGATATTGATGACGAGATGTTTCGGTGGCGTACTCGTGGGCCAGCACTGCTAACACATCATTTAAAAGTCATTCTGCAGGCACTGTCTGAGACATGCACGAGACAATGTATATAGAACAAAGGTGCTTGGAAGATGGTTGAGGCGCAGATGCTTCCGTTGTCATAACTGCAGCGAACAGCGTGTCTTCTGTATCATGTATGGGGACTGGAGCTTCATGGATTGTGACGGACTGTC